CAATGATGTTAAATGTAAATATATAGAATCAATTTCATCAGGCTTAAGAACTCAATTTCTCTTTTACTGACTGGTATTTTAGCCTTGCTGCATTTTCCGATGAATATACAAATTATATAAATTTAGCTAGTATAACAAGTGTTACACGCGTAAAAAAGTGAAATAAAATTAAATTAAATGATAAAATGAAAAAAAAAGGAATTTCTAAAGAACTCAGAAACACTGCAATATTGAAGAATAATGATGCTTAATTTGATCGAGTATGTTTACGGCTGTAGTGGTAAGTGAAAAATACCGTTCATACCAATTCCACCCCATACTGCCACCCAGGTCCGACTTAAGCAGATTCAACATTGAAACATGCACATCATGAAAATTTCAATTTGTATGCATATATCTATTATCATGGAACTTTCATTCGTGGAATTCCATGATAAGTACCGTATGGTCCCTAAATAAAATACTGTATGTGCTGAAACGAGAAAACAATGGACAGAGCTAATTAAATGGAATTGTGAAATTTTTTCAAGAGCATAGTCTTTTTTAACCTACTCTTCTTATGTCTGTTTCTGCTATACACAATTTTCATTCTATTGCATCTTTCATTAAATAATCTGATAACATACAGGTTGATTTTAATAAAAAAGCTGATAAAACATAACAATAAAACATTGTTATTATATTTATTGTCAGGCTTTATCTGTAATGAATATCTTAATTAAATTTTGTACCTCAAATCTTAAAGTTTAAAAGAAAATTTATTATTTTGCATTTTTCTTTTTAAACAAATGTAGTAATTCGTTAATGCGATAACATCTTTAATATAGTTTCCTGAGAAATGAAAATATTGTTATAAAAGAATATACGTAATGTAACATTGTAATTTTCCAAATACAAATATACAAAGGCAAATAAATCACAATTTCAGTACAATAGCTAAGAAAGATGATTAAGTGCAATCACTTTTGGTAAAGGATTGCTTTGGTGCCCATTTCATCTCTTAATAGTGACCGGAGTTGCACTTAATGGAAAGTCCTAAGTTTAAAATCTAAAAGTTTAATGACCAAAACTGAGAAAGTGTTGCGTTTCAATGAAAATGCCTTACCTTCTGTCTCCTGAGGTAAGAGTTTTTCAATTTTTGAATAGAAATGTTGATGAACATCGACACATTGTGGATTGAAGCGCATATCTTAATATTTCTGAACTTTTCTCTGGAGAATAAACTTTATCAAAGGATAAGTCTCTCACTTAAGATAAAACAGTTGAAACAATCTTAAGGTAGTCCTATAGCTGGTTATAAGTCCTTGGACTTAGGATACACTTACGACTTTTATGAAACGCAGGCTAATATGATTTGCTTCGATGTATTTCAATGATTTTTTTCCTTATTGCAAACGTTTTCGGGATCATTGATTTCTGCACGTTAGTGTTGGAAATTGAACACCGCTTATGACGCTGCTATGGGGCGTGAAAGAGGCTGCACTTTTATATTTTTCCTCTAGAACATACTTAATTAAAGCAATCAAACCAAGTTTTGATTGCCTCCGAGGGATAACCCCTTTCCTATCAAAGTCTGCACGCACAATGTGTCTTTGTAAAGTCACATCAATAATAATCTGTCATTTATACTTTTATTTTTTGTACAAGCCCCCAAAAAGCAATAATGGGAGGTAATAAGTATCGGCCATAAATAGTGTATGCTGAGGTTCTTTCTCTTTACATTTCATTTAATGCTACTCATTGGAAAACTAAAAAATGTATTACTTTTAATATAATTAAACATTTTTTCTAAACACATTTTGATTAAATGGAACCTCCGATTTTACATATATCTGCAAAAGTATTTTGACAATTGAAATTTTATTATGATGAATATTGAATAATACCTTTTAAATCAAGCACAGGTAAATATTTTTATTTAAAATCAATGTTTATTGGAAAAAATACTAAATAAAAAGAAAAAGGAAATTTTTTTTTTAATTGACATGTAAATTAATTTGTTTAGTAAGTGAGATTTGTTTTGGATTTGTACAAGAATTTCAAGATTTTTTCATAAACTGTTAAAAAGTGTCGTCATATTTCATAACGATTTCCAGTAAATTTGTGATGACCTATTTGATGCATAAAACATATTTTCTCTCGATGTTTAGGGTTCTGTCTCAACTTTGCATTTAAGTAAATACTAGTCTTTAGAATTTCTATAAGAATTTGTTACACATTCCTCAACGATGTTCATTTCTAAAGGATGATAATTTCAACCAGTATATGACAATAATTTATTGCCAATAAATATTTTATTAAGAAAGATGTCGGATTAAAAAGAATAAACAAAATCGAATTTGGGCCATTTAAAAATGGTAATTCCCACCCTATAGTTTTACAAGTTTCCAAAAGGAAATAAATGTTTGCTCCGAGATGGATATTTTAATATTTCCAAGATCGATATTTATATATATATATATAGCTTTGCTATTCACTAACTGGTTCACATGGTTCTTTTTGTAATCTGTCTTTAGGCATGGTGCCTGATTAATTAAATAGAATTGAACCATCTTATCACTTAGAGGTTTTTTGTTCACTACATCATCAAGCTATTTAAGTAATTTATCTTAATTTCCATATAAAAGTTGTTTTATTTACTTTATTTTGTCTTATTTGTTTAATAGTAAGAACTAAATGTCACAAGATGTTATGTTGCGAACAAGCGAAGTTCATTGTACTTTTAGTACCTCAGGGATTCTACATATGTTTTGATTTAGTTTCATATTCAGAATAATATACATTTTTACCAAAAGTTTCGACTGGGTGTTTTAATATTTAAGGTTATGTGAAAGGTACATTTTAAGTAATATTGCTTTCATTTTTAGGATAACAAGATAACATTTACAAAGTCATTGATTGTTCACAAATTTGTTGCACATTTCAATAGTATACATTTGTAATCACACTGTTGCTTTTTAATACTTTTTTTGACGGTAGGTTCTGCTTAATTGTATTTTCTGTGACGTGTAATTTGTGATATTAAAAACCCCAAAGAACAGTTGATTACAATATGGACAAATATTTGTCTAGAAATCAATTCCCGAAAACACATACATTTGTGTTGTTGTAAAGTTACAAACTTTACTTTAAGAAATATATCTGGTATCATATGCTTCACAATGTATAGCTTGCAATAAACATTTCACTGTAAAACATTTCTTTCTTGAATGCAATAATCATACAAAATGTTAGTGATAGATATTTTCGAGTAAATATTCACTTTCGAAACATTTTTACTCAGTTCATTCCAAAACATTGATCGGCTACATTTAAGAAATAAACATGTTTACTCCCTTAAAACGCGAGTAAAACAATTATTTCCTTATCAAATTCGTTAAACTGTAAAACAGTGTTAAGACCTAATAAATTCTTTACACTGAATATATAATTTAAAACAAGACACAATTAGGAATATGGCTTAATATTGATAGCATATATCGACAATTCATTTCAAAATCAAGATGTTTGTGCTAATATATCGCCTGACGTCAGTAATACGTCGTCGCTTTCATAAAATAAAGCATTCGTCGAAGTGGAAAATCACTTCTATATGCACTAAAAATGAAGAACATCGAAGAACCAGAAAATGACGAAAGCCACATCTATCTCTCAGAAAGCATCAGAAGAAGGAAAACTGAAACGAAAAAAATATTATTAAAACTTTAACAAATCCAATCTATATATAACAAAACTTACCAGTTATAAGCTGTTCTAATTGAAATAAATAAGGTGGTCGGGAGGGAAATACTAGAATGATATGTTTCGCTACCAATGGAAAGCCTCGAATGGCCTAAAACACGCCGAGTTGTGCTTTTATACTCAGCACGAGAAAAACGAGCATACGAATAAACATAAGCAGACTTTGAAACGGAAATAATTATATTTAAACGCGAGTAATACAATTATTTCCTTATCAAAGTCGTCAAACTGTAAATATCCTTAACAGTGATAAGACCTACACTGAATATATAATTTAAAACAAAACACAAATAGGAATATGGCTTATTATTGATAGCATATTTCGAAAAAACAAAGAAAGAATTAAAATGAATTAATATTTTGAAAATTCGTAAGAAATAAAATTTGAAAATACTTATTTTAAAACAGCTGCGCTTAATAACAGGCAGGCATCTGCGTAAATCCAATAGAATCCAAGTACATCATGTTAACCTGATTTGCAAACCTGAAAATTCTAATTCTACAGCATAGATCTGATTAAATAACAAGTTTCTCTCGATAAGAGCATAAAGCCTATGCATTTAGTCAATTGCAAATCAAAATATCATACTATCCGTTGAATTTGCCTTAAACACACACCACTTACTAAAATGTTTGAAAGCATAATTCTTGTTTGTTAATATTTCTTTTCCTCGTAAACACACTTCCTTAAGCTCTGAGAACAGTCCAAGAGAAGATAACTTTGCTTGCTCTTTAGCCTCTTGCCAAACTTTAGTTTTAAATAATGCTGTAAACGGTAAAATATATTTAAATAATAAAACGATCTTTATCTTCTCAAATATAAAACAATATTCGTAATCAACATAGAAAATCAAATCAAAATGCAATGTATAAAATTCTGGGCTGCGTTTCATGGACAGTCCTAAGTTAATCCTAAATACTAGGACTTACGACCAACTTTAGGAGAAAAAGTTTTTGTACTTAAGACCGTTTCAAGTAACTGTCCTATCTTATGTCGTAAACTTAAAAATGTGTTACTTATCCATTCCACGAACCGTTATTTTGAAAAGGGGTTCAACGCACACCACTCATAGGTGTTTGCCAAAATATTCCTACACTGAATCTATAATCGTTAAAATAATTAAATCTTTGTAAAACTCTATTTCAATTATTGATTATTTAACTATGACTTTATTTACGTGTTTATGTATTATTTGACCTTGTAAACCATGCTATCTCAAATCTAATCGTATCAAATATGATAAACAAGATCAAGCCAATCAAATTTATTCATCTCAGTTACAAACATGAGCTTTATATACAGTTGTAATTTGTAAAGACAACACAACATAGCATGTCATTTACTACCACATCACAAATAATTAGGTTTTTGTTTGAAATGTAGCATTTTGAATGTAACAATTCTGAAACATAATAAATATCTATTGTCAACATTTTTCATATTAAGCTGATATCAAACTATGTGACATGCAAATTGTAAAATTATTTTCAAAATCACCGAAGTCACCGTGAATTATTAAGTAATTATTACAAATCAAATACTTGTCTGCCCACATATTTTGAAATACATGTATTCTTAATTCTTTTTTGTCATGGAATTGAATTATTTTTAACGAAATATTGATCTGAATATCCATAATTACAAGATGTGTGTTTAGTATGTCCCCAATAATTTAATGTGTCACTATCACTGATCACATACAATGTGTCACATTGTAGCTAATATTCGCATTCAAAAGATACAAATGATCTATCTCACATTGAATACTTTTATTGTATCATTTGAACCACGCCCTTGCTCAGAAGAACAACTAACATATAATTTGTGACTCCTTTCACTGTATGTTACAGCCTTTGGATAACAAAGGTTTATCTTCTCCAATCCTAATATCTCACATTTCTTGAAGCTGTTTGACAATCTGACAATTTTGTGACTGGAGTAGAAGCAAACTAACAAAGTACCATCTTCGAGCTCCTGTAAGCCATTAGGACCAACATATCCTTGATCCGCAAAGCTTTGTACAACATTTCCTTGCCAGTCTATCTTCATGCACTTGCCATAACCTTCCAAGAAGCAGTAATCAGATACATACATGAACTTCTCATCTCTGCTGATAACAATCTTTTTAGGCCCATCAAACAATCCAGGAGTACAAAAACTCTGTATGATATTTCCCTCTAAATCTAGAATAACAAGCTTTCCTGGAGTATAATTACAGCCTACTACTAGCTTGTCCTGACAATAAGCTAAACAAACACACTTTTCACCGACATCTATACGACGATCTGAAGACAAACTTGTATCTGTATAAGACATGATCTGGATACATTTTTCTTTAAGTAATGCAACAGCAAGTTTATTTTGGGGAAGTCTTATAACATCGAATGGTGCAGAAGACAGGGTTTCCTCTGACACCTGTGTTCCTGTGGCTATATTAACTGTTTTAATTTTCTTATTGCCATAATCAGCGAGGATCATATGTGTAGCAGAAATCGTAACAGCCCCAAACACATCACTTTGGTTTTCATCAGAGGGGAATTTCACGTTGAGAGATCTTTTATATCTCATACATATTTCAGTATCTGCTAATGGTTTTCCATATGTTAGAATTGTCCCAAAGTTTTTCTTATTTTTCAGTTGATCAAGTAGCTTTTGGTTCCGGTCAAATTGAATGTCGTCATATGCCATAATATCTTTGACAATCTGTATTTCTTCACTTTCAAGTGTCATCAAACGAGGTCCGACATTTTTCATTTCAATGAAAAGCTTATTCTGCTCGTTTGTTTTATTCAGGTCATTTAGAAATGACTGTGAACGCTTCACTTCCTCGGCTAATTTTTCGCAAGCATCCTTGATATTCTCGAGTTTATAGTTTGCTGCGTTAATAATAGCTTCAGTTTCTTTTATCATCATCGATTCCATCTGATCCAGATATGCATTTATTTCTTTCCTGAAGAGACTAATGTCTTCATTAACTTTTCTATTACTTTGTTCCAGTCGTTTTGAAGCAGCTACAGCCTTTATAATGTTATTTTCACATTTCTTGATTAACACTTCCATCTTTTTGTTCAAATTTATCAACTCGCTAGATACGTTTCCGAAACCCTCAGGAATAAAGTCAACTATACATTGTTTGTGTTCAAGAGTCACACAAACTTTGCATGATACTGTTTTGTGATTGTTACAATAGAACTCCAGTAGTTTATCCTTATGGTTGGTACAGTTGTCGGTAATCATGTCTGCATTTACGTCAACGGTCGTTTGATGTAGTGCCATGTCGTATTTATTAATCAGAACATGCTTTCTAGATGATCTTGACCTTCTATGATGTTGAACGCAATTTTTGCAAAGATGTTCCTTGCAGTCTTGACAAAATCCGTGAGCCAGCTTCTTTAATCCATCTGTACCACACGGATTACAGTACAGATTCAGATTCGTCTTTGATGTAGGGCTACCTTTCCAGACACTTCCACTTTTCTGAAGATAATGTATAGATTAATACTCTTCGACAACATGTTTTAGAAATACGGTATTTTAAGCTAGTTACATTGAAAACATTTTTGTTGTAAATCAAGCAACACTGCGATATTACAACAAAATCATCACGATTTGTATATAACAACAATCATTTGCATCAATGCGATTAAAAAACTCATACTAAAATAAATATTGCCCAATTGTTCTTTACAGTTTGTCACGATGCAATTTTGGTTTAGCTGGTGTTTTAGGAAATCAAAGAGCAGGTAACGTAATCTAATTCACACAGTTAATTTGTTGAGAATTTTCAAGCTATACGATAGATAGTAGATTTATTTAATGGAAAAAAGTTAACTTTTAATGTCTACTTATCTGATTAACCAAACATATATTTTGTAATATTTTACTGATAAAGTATAAAGTGTCTCACCTTCAGATGAGTCTACCACAACCTGATGGGACAATACACAGTTTTCAAGGATTCTCGCAAACAAATAACAGTGTCACAATCAAAATCTATTGCACAAGTCTGTAATCACATAACTATAATAAATGCATTTCATAATTAATATATACATATATCTCAAGCAGACAATTTATAATACGTGTCCAACTTCAAGGTTTCTGACACATAGCACTGTGCTTTCCATTGTTTTTGTCGCGACAATAAATGACAAAATATAGCGGAAAATAATGGAAAACAAAGAAAAAGATATATCAAAATCAATAATTAAAATCACATGATTCATTGTATCTTCCTTCTCAAACAATGCATGATCTGAAAGTAAAGTCCACAAGGAAGTTATGCCATCTTTTTTACTATTATATGTGAAATTAAGAGCTGATTTCCGAGCTAGCTTCATGAAGCATACATTTGAATCTGACGGTTATCCCCGAAAATATAAGGGTTAAACACTACTAAAATTAATCTTACCTAATATCTGAAACACAATACGAGCAACTGAAACTTGAATTATAGCAACTTTAAATATATAGAAGCTGAATTAGCCACTTCAATTTCAAAATTTATTAATATGACTCTGGTCAATTCGAAACTACCACACCGAATATATGTACTACAGTGTTCCGTTTGGACAATCGTGAATATTTATTTCGTCATTTCCAGCGATGCACAATTGTACGATGGTGAAAAACGCGATGGAACGATGACACGATGATGATGATGATGATGAAAACACCATTGTACGATGTTAAAAAGACGATGTTACGATGCTAAGATCGCAATGTAGAGCTGGTTGAAAACGCAATGTTATATCGCATTTTCATCATCGTACCATCGCGATTTCACTTTGCACCATCACGACATCGCGTTTTCACCATTGTACCATCGTGTTATTTTCATCAAATCAAAATCAAAAACTTGATGCACAAAATAAAGACTTAGTCACCCTCTCATTAAAATGTGGTAAGCAAATTAAGTCTTTATCAGAACTTGAATCGAAAAATAGAAAAATGCACCAAAACCTGCTGGAGGCGGAGGGAAGAATTAACTTCGTAGAACAAAATGCGGACCTTGAACAATATGGACGCAGGACCTCACTGCGCTTCCACAGAGTTAAAATACCCCCAACTAAAATAATTGAGGCTAGCAAAAATACCTTACAAACACATAAGGGAGTTCACCAACTAGATACTGACCAGCTGGTTGTTTCTATATGCAACGAAAATATGAATGTCAGTCCAATCATCACCACAGTATATAAACGATTTGAACCCCAACCGGCTCTTGTGAGAGGATGTCAGTGTCAGCCATTTCTGACGCTTAACTTGTTTAATATATTGGTATTTATATTGATACTTTTGGTTGTTAGGTTATTTAATCTATATTTATATCGTAGAAGAGAAACTTCATTAAGCGTTTAAGTTATGCAAAATAAAAATGTTAGCATTAAAGCTATAAAATAATCGAAACTCACGAACTGCTTTCAGGTGACCAACACTGAACACTAGCAAAAATCCGTCTTATTTCAAGGTTTATTTAGGTAAACATTGAATTGTGATAACGAACTACTAAACTAATCAAGAACAAACGATAATTTAGTCATCTGCAAAAAATATTGCTGTATTTTGAACAATAAATAAGGAGTTTAACCAAGGAGGTCAATTCCGTAAACTGAACATTACTTGCTGGTGATTGTGAACCCTACTTGTGAGTTTACGAATTTTATCTGTACCCTGACTTGTGAGTATTTTTAAAGATTTAATGGAGAGAACGTTAATTATTTAACGTATTTATTTGTTTATTGACAGGCAAAATGGAAGAATTCAGTTGTCTTCATTGCCCCCTTTCTCTTAAAAAAAATTCGGAAACACTATTGTTCATAATTTGGACATCAGAACAAAAGCTTAAAATAACAATTTCTCAGTTTGACAACAATAACAGAAACATTAAAATCATACTCAAAAGACTTTAGAATTATTCCAAAAGAACTGAAAAAAATAAAAAAGGACTTTAAAAGCAAATGATATTACAAAAACAGTAAAAATTTCAAGACTAGAAGGACTTGAAAAATAATCTCTAATCAAGAAATGTCAAAAAATCAAAACGCCTGTTAAAGATGTTCACACATCGACAAAAGATATGTTTTTTTTTAGTACAGATGACGAAGAGTTTAAGTTTTAACTTGGTGTCAACTTATTTCACAGAGCCCACATTTATGTTGTGTTTCAGGGGAGTGTTTGTTACACGAAAGCTACTGTCAAGACCCTCAACTACAAATGATTCATCCAAATCCATCTATGGCAATTTATAGAAAGGAACTGGATTTATATATATATATATCTTTTGACTAAAGATAACTTATGATAGCCAATGATAAACTTTTTAAGTTGTGTAAAAAGAAAACTAACAAGTTATCTTAGACACTGACAAGACTGTAAACTATTTAAAAATAAGTGGAAATAAACTCTACCTTTTAGACATTTAACAACAATATGCAGGAAACTCCTTAAAATGATTTATTAAGAGTGATCCTAGTCGTGCATGTCAGAAAAAGAAAGTCAAGGAATTTATGAGAATATAAAACCGTGTTTCAAAAAGCATATTGAAATCAACGGTAGGTGTAAAGCTTTCAACATGTTGAAATAAGTAATCTGCCAAAAAATCCTGTGATGATCTTTCGAGGAGGATGGATTGATATGTGACGTTATACAACGGTCACGTCAAAACCAACAACAATGCCGTTGAACTTAATAGTAGAAACGTTTATAGTACTTATGTTATATCTTAGCTTTATATCTTTTCAAAGAAAAATGAATGGTAAATGAAGATAAGATTTGTTGGTTGATAATTCCTGTCAAGAAATAATTTTCTTCCTAATTCGTATTACCAGCTACTTCATTCTGGTATTTCCATGGAAAGTGAAAGCATGATGAAGGTCGATTCATGTGCAGTGTTGGTTACTTATATAGAACTAAAAGATGTGTCATGCTCTTGTGACACAATAACTTAATATTCTGCAAGATATAATTTGGAACATAGGACAAAACAATAAAAATCATCAAAAGTGACTCTCAAGTTATGGTTCAGTGAGAACAGAAGTACGGTACAGATCATTAAAATTGTTTTAGCAAGACGGGTACAGTTATCAGAATGTTTGCCTCTATTATTTACTATTTTTTTTATCAATATTCAAAGATATCTACACAAGTGTCTGTGCAGTAGCACGAGATAAGACAATAAAGTTAAGTTTCAGATACGAGTTATAGTGAAATAGAACAATTTTAGGCATAAATTTGTTTGTGTAAACGGCGTGTGTTGACATAAACAAAACACGAAGCGAGGAGCACAGCGTTATATGCGCATAAATTTAAAGAAGCTGGTTATAGATGTATCTATAAGCAAAGACAAAATATTTCTTAATATGATTCAAATGTTTATATACCGTCACAGATTAAATTCAAGCCGTCTTAAAAAGTTTTATGGGTCACCCCGTCTGTTTGTACGGAACTGATGTTGAGATCTTCTTACACGATCCGGTTGGGGTACAAATCGTTTATATACTGTGATCACTACTAATAATATAGAAAGATCGCGCCTTATTGGCGCAGTCAGGGATGGCTTTGGACAAATCTTGTGCAAATTTAAGCTTGTTTGTTTGTTTGTTTGTTTCATTTTACGCCTTTTCCCAACAGTATTTCAGTCATATAGGCGGGTAGTTTCCTAACCATTGTTCCTGGAGAGTTACCCCAGTACTAGACTACATTCCTCCGCGCTAAACTACCAAAGCATCTCCCGGAAATCGAACCCACGCCAGAAAGGTAACTGGATTAGAAGTCATCGACTCTAACCCCTCGACCACGGACGCGGTTGGAAAACAAAACAAAGAGTATATAAATCTAAAGCGCATCTCAAAAATCACAAGTCTGATACGTTTTAAGTGTTTGTAACAGAAGACCTTACCAAGAAAAGGCAGTTTATAGTGCAACAGTTAGAAATGGCAAGGAGAGATAAATTTATAGATGCATGTAACTTTTTCATTTTATAAGCTTGTACATGTACTTACTTTTTCAGGTTGAATAATCATATTTTAAAAATAGAACATTCGGCGCGATATAACCAGTAATGTGTCAATGTTAAGAAGACACACAATAAAAAATAGAACATTCGGCGCGATATAACCAGTAATGTGTCAATGTTAAGAAGACACACAATAACAATCAACAGTATTACAGTTACAGTTATCACAGCCGCTCCTGACATAATATATATTATGAACAATAAGTAATTTCATTGTAGTGCTATGGTAACACTTAAAATGGACATAGCTTTTGTTTATTTACATAAAAAACATGTAGAATATACATTGTGCCAAATTAATGATAAACCTACATGAAATGTAGCTGTTAATCAGATTCATGTCTTTTGGCAGTCAATAATATCGGCGAAGATCTTCTTTCATTATTCAAGAAAAGTCTAGTGGCAATTGTAATGTATATTCGTGTGATACCAACACAATTTCAATAAAATAATTTAAAGTGATGTAATAAATATGTAA